TCTTTGAAGATTCAATGATGTTAATATATAATTTTAATATTAATTATATTATTACTTACAGAGTGGAACAACAGTTAAAAATCGATCAAAATGGTGCAACCAATCCAGATATGAATACACCATTCTCAGGCAAACGTGACGCTTGTAAACGTTTGGTGAGATATCATTGTTTAAATGAACAAGTACTAAGTCCCAAGGATTTGGCAAAAGCAGATGAAAGATTTGAGGAGACGGCGAAACATTTGTTGGGCAAATTTAGCGCAATGATGAATAAATACACATACCTCCTTTTAATGGAAAGCATGGTATAAATATAATATTTATTTATTGAATAATTATATATGTTAAATAATTAATTTCTGATACAAATATTTGCACATTAATCATTGAAAATATTCCAATTAAAATACTTTATATCAATCAAAATACTTTATATCACTATTATTATTCATCTCACTATATATTTAAAAAATATTCTAAATATTTCTTTTTAAATAAGTAATGGCACTAATATTTTTGAAATTATAGCGTGAAGTGAGGACGTCGGAATTAATGATGATCGACAGAACTTTTGTGGCTGAAGAACAAAATATTCTCAATAGGTTACGAGAACAGGAGGCAAAAGTGAATGGTAAATTATATATGTATTTTTTATTATCTTTAACTCAATACAATATAATTATAAAAATAAATATTGTATGTATATATGGATTTGTTCCTTCTGAGATTACATTTTTTAATTTACATTTCTATTTATTTCACATACTTTGAATATATTTGAAATTACATAGCACACACACAACAAGCCATACTATCTATATTATATTCTTAATAAAACTAGCTGCTAATTTTCTCTATTTTTTTGTCATGTCTATTTAAAAAATTTTTTATTTTATATATATATGTATGTATAATATATGTATGTATATTGCGATTAAAATTGCAGAGGAATTTAAGAAAGAAGAAAAACCGTTGGTGCCAAAAGTTGAACCTGGCCTTATAGAAGAGGACAAATCAGCATTAACAACATCGCCATCTTTAGTGAATGTATCTGTAAAACGTGAACTAGAGGATGACTTCCCAAGTGATGAAATGGAATGTAAACCAGTTATTAAAACGACGAGCAGTACCAGTGGTGATTACGATGAGTGGCTGGAAATCCAGAAAGAACTGGGAGTATATCCATCCACTACAGACACCTTGAGATGTAAAAATGGTAATAACAGTAATAGTGGTAATAGTGCGTGTGCTGTTACGGCTGTTACGAGATCATCGAAAATTGAAAGGACACGAGCGAACGGCGAGTGTCTTCGTGTGAATGTACCTAGTGTCTCGAATATAATTATGAAGGACGATTGTGAGCAAGATGTAACTCCAACGTCTTTCGATAGGCGTTGGAGTAGTGCCACCGATCTCGAGCGAGATTTGTTAGAGGATGCTGACAGCTTGGATGGATTGGCCTTGCATTCGCAAGCGCAATGTCCAAGTAGTACTGTGCATGTAACGAGTAACGAAAGTGGTAATGCCGGCAATGAGCACGACGAAATCACCGCACAAGTACAATCTGCCATTGACAGCATTCTCAATCTTAAAAAACGTCCTGCGAATACATTATCCGGCAGTAGTAGCGGTAGTTCGTCATCGCAGTCCGGTGAATCGAAAGACACTGCGCTGGATCAAGCAGTCCGCAGCATTTTAGGCTCGTGACCCTCCTTTAGTAAAGTATGTTAAGAAGTGAAAGTTTGTAGTGAATATTAAGCTAAAATTACACGTTTTAAGGATTTTAAAGGAACTAAGTCGATTTTTCATGGTTTTTTGTCGATATCGTGAATCTATCTGTCATAAAAACTGTTTTAAAATCACTGATACAATAATCTTCAAGATTGTTTCCAATACTGCATATCCTGAAGCGCGCGCGCGCGCGCAAATACACACACACACACACACACACACACACACACACACATGTATACAGATAGTTATTAAATTATTTGTATAAATCATATGACATACACTTTATATTATTTTATTTATATATTATTCAACAGAGAAAGAGAGAGACAAACTGGATTATATATACATGTGGTGCAGTATGATACATATATATGTATTAAACATTTCAATTTATCAAAGATTTTCTTTTTTGCAATGGCAATAATTATTCATAATATACAAACATGTATACTTTCCAGTAGTCTAGCTGTAATAAAGCCACCGCGTAAATCTAATTATAGCAGCTGTACATGTGAATAGATTAGATAGATGACTCGCTCAGATTTTACAATATGCCACTTTGTAATGTAATTTTGTAAAAAGTAATTATTTAAAGCAACTTATTCCACTTTATCGGTAGTACTTGTAAAAGAATCTTATTGATACTTAAAAATGGGTCGGTGAATTGTACATACATGTTTTTAAGGTATATTATTAATATTATTGTGACTATTATTTGTATTATTGTTATTGAGATTTATTCTCAGAATTATTATTATTATTACTATTAATTAACAATACATCATCATTGGACTCGACGGTGAGCAAAAAGAAAAGAGCATAAGAGACTGATATATAAGATCATAAAAATGTGAAATGCAAATGTATTTAAAACAAAATGCTATTGATGATACAATCGGAAAAAAAGGAGGATAAAATGATTCTACTACATTCTAAAAGAATGAAAAATAAAAAATATTGAATAAAATTTATTCATTTTAAATTTTTTCAGAAATAAAGCTTTGGTGATAATGTAAAATAAAATATTTTATTGAAATATTTTCAATTCATAAATTTTTCTTATTTTTTCATATATATAATTTACCTGTCTCTAAAATTGTGTGTTTGTATCACCAATAACAAATTATGTAGAAGAAAAAGGAATGTGCTACTTTTATGAATATTATTTTGGATTCATTTCTATTTATGATATATATACAGTCTCGATGTTATGAAGCAAAATCAAAGAAACAAATTGTGTGTTTCTAAATAGTGCATAGTATTTCTTTTTCTTTTTTGGCATCACAAGCTCGCAATACATATGTGAGTAATTGATGGATGTATATTGGAGAGTGCATGTGTGGAAAAAGAATAATCATGATGATCATTAGAATCTTTGACAAAGTCAAAGTAATTTTTCTGAAATTGATTAGCATCAGATACACATTCCCAATAGCAATATATATTTTCAATATATTCTTTATTTTATTGTAATACATGTGATTTATACACATGTCCTAAAATTATGAGGAAATCGAGACCTGAAATTATTTATTCCGATTTTTAAGAGATACTTTTACAATACTGGAAAACGCGATAATAGTTTTTGCAGATTTATGCAGTTTTATTATATGAACTCGCGCGCTTGCGTATATTCTTTTTCTACATGTATCAAGAACGACTCTCTATGCACAGTGGAAATGAAGCGTTTTCTGGCAAAAGCAATCCAAGACTGACGTATATACAGAGAAAAACAAGCAAAACTATGTAATGTATTACAGTAAGAAATAATAATCGTTTGTACATATATAATGTTCAATTACACTCTCGACGGCAATCGTGACTTAATAAGAATTCTTCACAGATTTAAAAGTTTGGACATATTAAAATTCTTTTGAGCCTAATAAATTGCCGATATTTCACGAGTACGTATATAGATTATCTTATATCCCTATCTGTGTGCTGCGTTTGAGCGAATATCACATATTTTGCAAGTTGCAATTATTAAGCATTAACAACGATATGTAACAATACAATCGCTGACGAGAGTGAAGACAAATGGTACAGTGATAATATATATAAATATAATTTAAAGGACATTTTATTTTAATTGTTGTCAGTATACCCAAAAAAGAGTATCGTTATTTTTATGTAACATAGTACAATATCTCTGTGTCGCAGAATCATATGTCTTGTATAAAAAAGAACAAATGAAATAATAATGAAATTTGATAAACTTGATATATAAGATAGTATATGAATAAGTGATCAAATCTCTTATACATATTTCATATCTTGCAGGAGAAGACAATTATGCATAAAAAAAACGATATTGTATATTTTTAAAAGTGTACAACTTTTTAAAGCCGATAAAAAATTCCATGCATCATATATGTATAATATATATAAATTGTTACCATTTTATTCTTTTATAGATATTCTTTTGATTACTTTTTATTGTATTCTTGTTTCTGAATGTGAAGAATATCAGCAGTTAGGAATTGAAATAAGTATAATTTCGATAAATTTAATTTCTTCCAATATAAAAATATGAAAAGAATTTTATATATGTTAAATAGCGCACTTCATTTGTTCAAAAAATTGTTAAATATCTAAAAAAAGCTAAAAAATTTCAACATTATCTTCTTTCTTTTTAATTTATCTACCATTATATAGAAATTTTATTTGTATATATAAGTAAAATACTTTTCATCAAGTAAAGATTAGAAACGATTTCCAATGGTATAATTTTACCGCCAATGGTATAATTTTACCGCACTTTAAAAAAAGAAAGACTCTGCTATATAATAACATATATTCAATTACAATACTGAAAAGTAAAATAAATATTTTATATAAAAAATTATATTTAACTTACATTTTTTTATTTTTTTAAATTATATTTTTTGTTCTTTTTTGTTTTTCCCAATATGTATATATACATATGTTCTTATGTCCTATGCTGACCAATCCAACAACGTAAGGCATGCGCGTTTCCTACTGCGCATGCTCTAAGAGCTGCTAGTTCAGAAGTTATCTTTTTTACTCCATATTGGAAGTATGTACACTGCGCGACAACGATTCGTTCCTCGGTTCCTCTCTCGCGGGGCAAAGGGAGCGTAGAAGTGGCCAATCAGCTGGCAGCGTGGCAGTGGCTGATTGGTTAGGGGCTACGCTCCCCTTGTCCCGCGAGAAGGACCGCGGAATGAATCGTTGTCGCGGAGTGTACATCTAGTTCAGCTAAAAAGAACAGATTTATAGAAATTCATAATAAACATATATTTTTCTATTAGGCTGAAGACACTTTAAAAATAAACATAAGTGCTTAACATAATTAGTGTACATACAATTGTGTTCAATTATGATTTAATATATATTACAATTAAAATCAGTACTTGTGTGATGAATGTGATCAAGTTTGTTATAGAGGTGATTGAAAAAATTCGATCCATCTAGAATCTAAGACAATGTCTGCTGAAGAAACTTTCGAACAGGTTGGATTTACTTTTATATTTTTCTTCTTTATAAATTTAGATGTTTTCATTCGTTTCTCTAAAACAAAAAAAGTTCTCAAAATAGTTTTATCTCTTTCATAAAATAGTAGGCTAGTTATATATTTGAATAATATGTTATAAGAGAATAATTATTGCAGATTATTTGTTTATTGTATGTATTTATTGTGTTTTTTATATTCTAAGCATTTTAATATTTTGATAGTTTGAAGATGAAGAGACAGAGATTCCTATCGGCGGGACTTTACCTGGGGGAAGAAAACGTCTCTTTTCCAAGGAATTGCGCTGCATGATGTATGGCTTTGGCGATGATCAAAATCCTTATACTGAGAGTGTGGATTTGTTGGAGGATTTAGTTATTGAATTTATAACCGAGATGACACATCGGGCCATGGAAATAGGACGTACTGGACGAGTTCAAGTGGAAGATATTGTGTTTTTAGGTATAATTGTTAGGATACATATAGACTAAGATAAAATGATATTTTCTTCCTTAATCTTCCCACTATTCATATTTCTACCTAATTATTAAAAAGATAAAAAAGTAAATGCAAGATGGAATAATCAATATTAAGCATTAGAATAAAAATGAGAATTGAAGGAAAAAGTTAACAATAAGATATTGATATTAATAATTTTCTAATACAGATAATTGACTGTAATATATTTCTCCATTTTATAATATAATGATTTATTTTTCAGTGAGAAAAGATCCTAGAAAATATGCCAGAGTAAAAGATCTTCTAACAATGAACGAAGAACTTAAGAAAGCAAGAAAAGCTTTTGACGAGGTTAAATATGCAGGTACTGTCAAAGACTAGATAATTGTAATATTATCTGTTATATTGAATATAAAACTTTGAAATTTAGATAAATTGACTTGAGTTATATTTATATAACTATTTAAATAATTTTTTCAAATCAGCATGATCAATTTGCTAGTATTAATATAATTTGTTTTATATACATAATTGATTTAAATATATGCCTTGATTAAGATAAAAATAATGTTTTTAATTAGTTAAACTTATTGTTGAGCAAGTGTTGCTTTACTTTGCAATAATATTATGCTTGCGAGTAAAAATTTGTTTACTCTTCTGTCATGAATATTTCAGCAAAGATTTTTTTATGTTTTTAAAGAAGCACAACCTAGGCTATTTATAAGTTTGTTCTCAATAAATATATGATAAAACATTAAGTGTATTATAATATCTTACATATTGTTACAAAATATATTATTTGATAAGAATATCACAAAATGTGATATTTTATAGAAAATATGTTTTTTTCATATATATGATAACTAAAAGCAAACAAGTTTTTCTAATTAGCTTTTATATTTAGCTTATTAGTAGATTTTTATATACGTTATATATGTTTATTTATGTATTAATAAACTTAATAAAGTAATATGTTATACATTTGACACAAATGCTAATTATATTTTACATTTAATATAATTCCACACAAAATATATTTTGCCATTCCATTTTCATACTTTTATATGTTTATATAATACAATGTAATAATTATTATGCTTAAATTATAAGAAATTAATAGTTTTATATTATTGTATTACAATTTAAATAATAATTTATAATTTTTATATTATATTATATTTTTATTTATATTATATTTTAATCATTATATTCTCTTTTAGTCTTGTTTGCATTATATAGGTCTGGAAAGTTATGCATTTTTGCATGGTTTATGATTGTTAAAATTCAGCATGCACAGTATTTGCACGTAGTTTTATTGTTTTTTTTTTTTATGTGATGCTACTACCCTTTCTCGCAGTTTTACACTTCTTGAATACTTCCACAATTATTGTACAATGTCAACGGCCTGTTTTGCTGACAGAATAACGTCATTGAGTCCCACACCTTGGTAAGAGGAACCACACAGTGCCAGAGGAATATGGTGCGCGGAAATATAATCGTGGATGCGTTTTATACGTTGAGTATGACCCACGACGTGCTGCGGGATACAATCCTTCAGAATGGCAACATTGTGTGCGATTGGTTCCTCCTCAATAAGTAAGATACGTTTTATATGATCAATCGCCGTTGTTAATAAGTGATCCTCCGATGGATTAAGGCCGAAATATTTTTCGAACCAAGCCCCGCCCATCATGACTGTCAGCACCTAAACCATCATCACAAAATTCTATGTATATAAAATATTGGACACGATGATGTATAATTTAATACTCTTAGTTTTGTACATATAAAAATAAAAATTATAGAAGAACTTGCTTATAGATTGCTATACATGAATCAAATAAGGACTTAAAGTTCAGAAGGGAATAAAATTATTTCAAAGTATACATACTGTAGAAGACTTTTGAGGGAAAACACAGGAATCAAAGATTACACCTAGCAGAGAAAGATTCTCTTTTGGTGGTACGAGAAATCCAAATGCCTGCAATGGCAATACATCTTCTCGGAATTCAAAATTAACTACTCCTACTGTTACAGTAGGTATCTCCTCTAATTCTGTCGACAGTATGGGATGTTGCTCCCGCACTATTTCAGCCAAATTCTTCGCAGGTAAACTCGAAATAACGCGCGAACTTTCTTGAATATTGCCGTTAATTAATAGTTCTATGTGATTTGATTTAAATGTAAGTTTTTCACATTTTGCCTCAGTTTGTATTCTCACTCCTCGCTTTCTTACATTATTGGCTAATGCCTGAGGTAATTGTTCAAGTCCTCCTTCCAAGCCCCACAATGCCCAGTATTCCTTTTGAGCTCTATTCGCTAAAGTCAAGTGTAAATTTGCAGAGTCTATATTATTTTCTTTCACTGTATCTTTTGATTTTGAAAAAAATTTTTTTAGTCGATTTGCCAATACACCTTTTACTATGGAACCATATTTCTGTTCTGCCTCAAATAAAGATTTCAACAAAAAATTAACACTAATTTTCTGCGCATCTCCCGCACATATTCCACAAACTATAGGACTGACAAGATTATCCGCAATATCTTGACCTAATCTTCTTTGGACAAAATTATAGATACTCTCGTCCTCTTTGGATATCTTGGGAGCTGCCAAGTCAGTCCATAAACAGTTTATCAGGGGACGATCTAATAGTGAAAGCGTCTTGAAGAAACCCTTCAATGAAGTTGGTAACAGATGCAATGCTTCATCTGAGTAGATCAATCTATTCTGCGTCGCGGGATGACTTCGTCCAATATGAATTAACTTGTTATTCAATTGGAGATCCTCCACCAAGTTAAGAGTATTTTTTCCAGCTAATCCAACAGGTCTAATGGTTCTCGGTCCTTGCTCAAAGATTGCTCCAGATGGTGATCTTTTACTTCGTATCCATCCACCCACACGATTGGACGCTTCCAATAAAGTAATAGCCGAATTTCTTGCGTTATTAGCAGCATAATACGCTGCTGATAGACCTGATATGCCACCTCCTAATATTATTGTCATCTTAATATTAAACACTCTATATAAAATCTCTATATAATGTCAGCTCAATATATTGTGCAGTTAAATGCAATCTTGATTAAATATATGTTATTTTATGTGCTAAAAGTAAATGATATTTTAGTATCATGTATATAAATGAAAGAATTTTGTTTACGAATAAAAATGAATATAAATGAAATTGCTAAAATTAAGATAATGACTTGAAGACATAAATATATGACACATATAATGTCTAATAGAATTTGAATATTTTAATACTATTTAGACTGCATTTTTCTTACTTTTTACAAAGGTTCAAAAGATATTAAAAATACTGCCCTATAGAAAATAATTTGTAGGTTATCTATTATAACCATAGATATATAAAATACATAGATGGGTATTAGTTGCCAATGTAAGAGCAAGGGAGAATTTAGATATAGATGGGATGCATAAAAATGAGATCTTTATTCGATTTCTTTCAGCTCATATTAGATATATGTATTGAAGATTGGAATTTGGCTTGAGAATAAAAGGAGCTAAAAAATTTCTTCGTTTCGATTGATCAAATTTCTATCTGATACGGTTTAATGCACGCACACACATCATACGTATGATGCACGTATGTATGTACGTGTGCGCATGTGGCAATTTGTGATCACGATCGACATCATTTCGCCAAGTGTTGCAACCAACTGCAGTGTGTAAGTCAGTGTAAGTAGGCTTATGCGATTGCGATAAGTTTCCTTTGCGACGAGTCAATGACAGAAGCGACCTTGTTTCCTGAGAATTTCTCTCGAGCATTTCTCGCGAACTCGAGGTAATCGACGTATCAACGTTTTTGAGTCTTATTCGTGTCTGGAAAGAACTCAAAGGTATCGCAAGATACGATCCTCGGTTCTCCATTCAGCTCACAACGACGACGACGACGCACCATTATAGAATGCACTATTGTCAGTGTTAATCGGCAAGAAGGCCGCACTTTGAGTTGATGAGAGGAAGGAGCAGGGCGAAATCAGTAGTATCAACATGCAGAACAACGACGAGAATAAGACGCAGGACGTCGCCGTGGATAGCGATGACGAGGATCAGAGTTACGAGGAGTTCACCGTGAATAGCGACGACGAAGTTTCCAATCCCAACACTAATCTATCCACCGCGGATTGCGACGACGACGAATTGAGTCGCACCAAGAAGACAACTACTTCGAATGGTAACGACGAGAATCCCGATTGCGGCACCAAGAAGCCCGTTGCCAAGAATGAAAGCTATGCCTGGCCTATGTATCGCGCGTCTACCTCGCGAGAGAAATTGCTCGCCACTCCGGAGGATGATTATGGCTGCGAGCATTACAAACGAAAGTCCAAGTTTGTGGTATGTAAATAAAAACGTGTAAAAGTTGAAATAAAATTGGCCCATTATTCTGTAAGGTAGCATTTTCAAATTCATTGGTATAATTGAATGTTTATCTGTAGGATTTTTAATTTAAATTAATTTAATTATTAATTTAATTTATAAATATTATATTAATATTATATTAATATAATGTCCTTTAAAAAGTTGTTTTTCTATCGAAGAATGATATTATTACATCTTTTTAGGAAGAAATGTTGTACTATTGAATGTTGTAATTGTCATTGTACAAATATATATCTTTTTATATTTGTTTTCATTAATAGATTTAATCTCATGACATCTTAAAATATATATTTTTAAAAAATGCAAAAAATAATAATAATATACTTTATTTTTTAATATGAATTTTTCCAATAATATTTTGTTTTTTAACATATACTTGTTTTTTTTTTTAGACTCCTTGCTGCAATAAAGTATACACGTGCCGATTTTGTCATGATGAACAGGAGGCACATACGGTAAATAGGAAAGAAGTGACAGAATTAATATGTGTTCTTTGTGATACTCGTCAACCTGTTCAAGCCACTTGTCAAAATTGCCATTGTCAATTTGGCAAATATACATGCCTCGAATGTAATCTTTTTGATGACGAAGACAAAAATCAATACCATTGTGATGGTTGTGGTATATGTAGGGTTGGTGGTCGTGAAAAATTCTTTCACTGTGCAAAGTGTAACATGTGTTTGCCAGTTCAATTACAAAATGGACATACGGTAAGAATATATTAAGAATATATAATAGTAAGAATATATTATAATACAAAAAATGTATTGAACCAACAAAAGAAAATAACAAATAATTCATTTAAAATATTTATATTTTTTTTCCATAAAATTTACTTACAATTGTTGCTATATAAACATTGAATAAATTTTATTTTACAGTGCATAGAAAATGTTTCACATTCCAATTGTCCTGTGTGCCTCGAAGATATTCATACGAGTCGTACACCATGTCACATTCCTGGTTGCGGACACTTGCTACATCGTACATGTTTTAAGGAATTGTTACAGTCTGGACATTATGCTTGCCCAACATGTCAAGTGTCGCTTTTAGATATGACGGATTTATGGAAATATTTAGATACAGAAGTATCATTAACGCCAATGCCAGAGGAATACAAGGATTATAAAGCCGATATTTTATGCAAAGACTGCCACGAGGTTGAATATTTCTTCATATTTCCCAAATATAATTTAAATGATAAAAAAAAATAATGGCAAGATATTTGTGCTTTTAGGAATCGACGGTAAAGTTTCATATTGTTGGATTGAAGTGCTTAAACTGTGGTAGCTATAATACTTGCAGGATAAAAGGTTCACCTTCTCCAGGTGATTATTAATTACTAATTAATTATTTTATAATCTTAAGTGATTACATAAATTTTTAATAGTTTGTACAGATCCAGATGTCTTATCAGAAGCAGCAGCTGGTGGTAGTAATAAAGAAGAGAAGGAGCAATCGGAAGGATAAAGATCGGAATGTTATCCGAAATTATCCATCAATTACAAAAGGAATACATCATACCAGTAATGATGGGAGAGATTTTATAGATAAATTTTATCTTTGACATTTTGTAGCAAATTGCGCTTTTGTTGCCTTCATAGTATTCTTTGATCAAGAATTAGTTAGCCAATTGCAAATTAGCATAAAAATGAAATATCATTATTGAATAATCAAATGTCAGAAGTACACAATTATTTTCAGTGGTCATTGATGGCATATTGTAATGCAATTTTTTGGATCCAATATGTAGATCATTTCATTAACATAAATCTTAAAAAAATTATATATATTATAAATTTCTTGTTTTTGCGTCGTTTATCACATTGTAATTAAAAATAGTTAATGAAGTGATCAACATGAGAATATTTCATAGACATTCCTTTTCATATACGTACACATGTGGGGACAGAAGTGTCTTAATAATGATTTTAAACTATTGAAAAAAAAAAAAAAAAAAAAAAAAAAATATATATATATATATATATATTAATATATATATGTGTGTGTATATGTATATGTATGTATGTATGTATGTATGAAAAATCCAATGTTCCAATATGAATATATACAAACTCATATTAAGACATTTCTATTTATGTTGAGGATCTTGATTGTTATTTGTTTCTAATATTTTTATCATATATAATATAATTATATATGTGTGTGTGTGTGTGTGTGTGTGTGTGTGTGTGTGTGTGTGTATGTGTGTACACATATACAGGGTGTTCCAGACTTCGTGTACTAGCTGTTAGCAGATTCTTGAAGACATTTGGAAATAAAAATCAACATCAAAATAAATTTTTAATGGAAAAATTGGCTAATAAATCCAAAGTTTGCATTTTCAGACATTGCATAATAATAATAAAATTATTTAGATACCGATTTATTTTTCAGATATTTTTTTCAGAATTTTGCATGATATCAAGAATCTGGTATTAACACATTGTCAAGTGTTAAAACGTTATTGACTGGTAATAAGTTAACTCGTATTTGTACTTGCATTAGCTTATTTTTGAATTTTAGCAATTTTTGAAACTTAGAGTAGTATAGAATTTTATAAAAGCTTTTTTGATTGTATTCGATCGTGTTTACTTTATTATAAAAAAAGGGATTATTTTTATATTCATTTACTAGGAAAATAGCTAGTGATATAAGCTTTGTATAAAATTACCAGTTAATAATGTGTTAAAAGATGATGCATCAATTCTTCTGGGACAATGTACATAATATTCTAAACTTATATATTGTGCAATATATATTATTATGTGATAAAATATTTCAGGCATATACAATGTTTGGTGAATTTGGAATCTTTTTTCTTTACAAAAATATGCTAGTATGTCTTATTTTGTTATATTTTCAATTTTTGACTTAACTATCGCGATGATTGAGATTTCATAAGCATCTTTCACATCTTTTTAAAAACTTTGCCGTCTTTGACAAAAAAAAATTAAATTTCAAATAGCTCAATAAATTTATAGATGAAAGTTTTGTGCAGCATTTTTAAATGTACTGATATATGTATGATTTATGATATATACATATTTCCTGTATCTAAATTTGTCTTTTGAAATGACAACTGCATTGGTAGCTGATTTACTAATCATATTTAGAAAAATAATTAAAAAATTGTGAACTGATATATGTGTTGTGTATGTGTGCACATATGTATATGTGATTGTGTTAATGGAAAAAGTAATATAAAATAACCCAAAATCCAATTATACTTTAGGCAATGTAGCACAGTGTCACCTTGAGTAAAACTTTCTACTTTGGATATATAATCTTAAAAATGTTATATTTTATCAATATAATGTGCAATATTAGTAGAACTTATTTTTTCACAAATGCCATTCATATTAGTTATAGTGACATATATTATAGCATTTTTGCCATATTAAAATGCATAAATTAATGGCCTAATTACACTTACTATCTAATTGCACTTTAATTAACATTTTGAAAAAAAACAAAGTTAAAATGGTAAATTTGTGTTTGTAAGAATTGCTTAAAAGCGTTTTATAGAAATATGGTCTTATTAGAAAAATATGGTCTTATTTCGAAAAAGATCTCTTTAATCATAATCTAGTCGCGGAAGATTGAGCATATCGGTACTCTTATAGCAGTTTTTTCCTAAGTGTGAATGTTTTACACAAGAGCATAAGTAAATTTGCACCAGTGGCACATGCTAATTCTACAATAAGATATAGTGGTGAAAATGATTAGAAAAATATTTCATGTTGAAAATGCAAAAATATTCTATATATGTATCCCAATTATTTCAATGTGCATACTTTGAATTTGCATTTCTCTTAAGAGGCATTCGTATAGCGATTAATATTCACTCATTAATATAAATCCTTATGTAATCTGTTTTAGTGTAACTGTACGTATATACAATAGCTATATGAAATACTCGATAGTCATGGCAGATAATCGTAATTTTTTGTTATCTTATTATATTTGATACAAAATATTTTCTAGTTACCGATTAATAGCCTTCGTATATACTTTATAAGAAACGACTAAAAAAAACTTGACAACTTTTCCTTGAAGTTTGACTTTCACAGTGGAATTACAGTGACGCAAATGTAATATTTTGAGTTTTGTTTCTAAAGCAAAACGGTATTAAAAAGCTTTAAATTCTATATATATCATTCCATAACATTCCAAATAGCTCATTAATTTTATATAAAATTTTAGTAAATATTGTACTTTTAATAAGCTTTCAAAATTGAACAGCTAGAAAAATATTTTTTAACATGATTCATTTTGATAATAATTTAATTTAAATATTAAATGTTTACTTATCAACAAATTATGTTAAACGTATGTTTTGCATATAATTTGTTCAATTATCTATATTAGGAAAACTTATGACACAAAATACGAGATTTCGTTGTGATTATCATGTTTTTATTTATATTCATTTGTAAATTAAATACTAGTTACAAATGGCTCTTTGTACATAACGGCCGCAACAACGCTTTCGTTTTATATTACATATAATATATACTATTATATCAAATAAATTGGTTATAATTCTATTCCACAATCTTTTTCCATATGAGAGGATGACAAGAATTCAATACTCGCGTATCAAGTGCTTATATTACAGATAATATGATAATAAGATAATATAAAATTTATTAATATCTGTATTTATTCGATGTTACCCGGCATGCATATAAATTTCATAATAAAAATTGCAAAGTTATTATTTAAAGGCGAATTCTGTCCATGAGAGAATAATCTCACAATTCTTAAAAAGATTTGTCACAGATCTTTTTAGAAATTGCCGCAGATCACGAAAATGCATTTTATATATATATATATATATATATATATATATATATATATATATAAATATATATAATATATATATAATATATATATATATATATATATATATATATATAATTTATATATATGCCATGTTAAAATACTTATACTTTACTATGAAATACAGAACACAGACTATTTTCTCATGGAACAAAATCTATTAGCACAACTGTAAATGAAATTATAAAATTTGAATACAAGCGAGAAAAAAAGAGATATATACTTTTCATTGTCCGATACATAGACATGAAAGATTTATCACTAAATGAGAAATATACATATTTTTTCTTCCATATCCTTAAATTTTATAATTTTATTTACAACTAAGAGGGTATGAAGTAAATAATAAAAACATTTATTTCTGCCGTTTTTTTTTACGAAAAAAACCACTTCACTCGCGCACTTTAGAGTTAATAATTCACGCACATCAGGTTCAACCAATTCAATTAGTTGCTTAATTAAACTTGAATTTATAGCACGTGGATTATTCGAGATAACAGCCGATTCTTTGAATGAAAACGTCTTACATCTCTTTCTCTACGACTAGTTTTGTGTTTCTTTTTTTTATAGCACAAGTGCAGCCGAGTAACTTGTGGTTTTTTTCGCTTTTTCATTTCTTTTATTTTAATCAAAAATTCAAAGAACGTGGACGTAATGGCAGGAATCCGTGACTGCTTAGAAAACGTCGGGCGGCACGAGTCATCTCAAGCTGGTCACGCGTGCGACCGCATGCCACCGTTGTCCACTGCGGTTCCAATTGTAACTGCGAGAAAAAGAAATGTGATTAAAAATAGAATTGTGATTTTAATGCAAGCATATTTATAATAAATACTAATGATATTGTAGTAGAAAATTTATTTGATTTAATATCATAAAAATATTTTACATGTATATTATATATATAACATCATATTTTTTAAATAAGAATCATTTTCAAGCTGTTGATATATATGCAGATATAAATTATATAGTGTGCATTTCCATAAAAATCATATATAAACATAAGTTATAATTAAATGAAGTGAATTAATTCTATATTTATTGAACTAACTTTTATCGTAATTGAAATTTTGATTTTTTTCTAATAATATTGGCTATAATAATAAATACACATATAATGATATTCAATCTAATTAGTCATAATTAGTGTAGGATAAAATTAATTTTAATAATTGTCTATGTGAACTCGAATTTCAGTTGACTTATATGTGATTTTTAAATTGTTTATAAACATAAAAATCTAAACAAAATATATTTATCAAGAACTTACCTTAGGTCGTTTTATTGGTCTAAGAGGCAGAGGGCTGAAGATACAACAAGGACTGTCGAACGCGTCAAACGTGATCGCTCTCTTGGCATTCGGCTTCCGTTGTACGGATGAAAAGTCGTGAGGAGTCTGGAAAGGATAGACACACACTAGCTGCAGCCGGCAAACAAGAGATATTCTTAGAAAATAGAATACGAGTTGACTTTATATTTGAAAAATTCGGGAGATGACTCACAAAATTACAACTAATCGATGAAAAGAAACAGGTCGAAAATTGTAAGTTTAATTTATATTTTTCAAAGATTATAGAATAATATACAAAAAATTAGTTCTGAGTGTCATCTGTATCATTTTTCTCGCTTATTTGATGCATTTCGCAGAGGAAAGAGAGGAAAAGAAAGAAGAAAAAAAAGAATGCCCACAATTTGTGAAAATGAGACCCTTGGGTGACAATATAAGGATTTTTGTTTGATTTGATCCCAGATAAGAAGTTTTGCTATCTGTGAGTTTTTATCAAGTTATTTGATCTCTAAATAAATAATAATGTCAAATAACTTACAATTTAAGAATCTGTTTTTTGATTTCTTTTTTTTCTATTGAATTTTAAGTTATTTTGAAGAAGAAAAATATTTTTAAATTCTTGAGCAAAAAAGAGAGGGAAAAAACTTTATAGAAATAAATATCCAAATAAACAGAGAATGGAAAAGACTAAATCTTTACGTTTTAAATACGCGCCGTGCGAATTGTTTTCAACTGGATACCGCGCATAAATATCTTTGGATCGGGAAGAGGTTGAGATACTTTGGTACGCTAGACCAGGCCTGTATAAAGAGGATGATTTTTTAGTTAGTGTATGCAATTAACATGCGACAATTTAATATATTATGTAAAAAAAGAATGCATTATATATATATATATATATATATATATATATATATAAATGCATTATATATATATATATATATATATATATATATAATATTAATGCAATATATATTAATATTAATATATAGAAAAACCACATTTGAAAAACATTATGCTCGTGCAGGATCACGTTTAGAACTTAATTTACAGGAAAAAAGGATTAGAATGATATATATTCGAAATAACAAAATAATATAGGAATGACATCGTTTCAAATGTGTTAATGCATTTATCTGTATATAGTATAACTTATATTATTTGTTATCGACTCGTTAGAATCCATTCTTAGCAAAATTAATAAGAGCGAAGCAAACAAAAACGGAACAAAATCGGTCATATGCCGATTATATACACGCTTAAAATATAATATGTATAACTTAAAACATAATTAATAATTTATAAGCATTTTTTTTTATCGAAAAACATAAATTATCTCAATTCGTAAGATTGAAAAATGCCTATATAAATATCAATATAAAAATATTGACGTAAATAATTTAAGTATTTTTGTTGTTAGTCAAAATGGAATGACACACAATACTTTTTCTCTCTCTCTCTCTTTCTCTTTAATTTTGTATATATAATAATATATAAATTATATATAAATTAATAAGACTCTCTCATTCTAGAATAATAAAGCTAATAGAGTAATACTACGTATAAATAATTAACAGGGCAAAAGACGCATTATATTGAAATAACTTAATATATATAAATAGTTCGAGCGTCGGTAAATGCCGTATATATACATATATATGTTTTAGTTTGTTATATATTATTTTATTATATACCATACCTAAAATTAACACCAACAATAATCTTTGGATTGGGCAATATTAAGAGAACGGAAACATATATGTTTGTAGATAGCCATAAAGAAAGAAAGAATAGCAAGTTAATGATATTTTCTGCGCTAATTGAATTTTTTCCTTAAACGATGAATGAGAATAAGCATTATATATAAATATAAAACGAAGATGGAAAAAAAAAACTTGAAGCATAGACATAGCGTTAAAAAGAAAGTTAAGAGGCCGGCTAGCGTGTCTAAGGACGATTGGTACGGGAATAATACCAGGATAGGGCGGGTTGATCATGAATCTGATTTTGGATATGTTGTTGTTCTACCTTTACTGGACTAGTTCCTGCCGTTAAGAAACTATCTTCCAATGCCATAGATTCGGGTGAGAACAGCATGGAGGCGTTCAAACTTTTACTCTATGAAAATAAAAGCAATAAACATATTATTATCTGGTCCGTTACATATGTTTCTTGTAAATTTTGAGAATGCGTTCAATCGAACGCAATAATTGCAGAATTATTCATGTAACATACTGGTGTCTCCACGAGAAAACTCATCTCGGAATTGTCCTGGGACGCCCAAGCTTGACAGAGGGCTTTGCGCGCTCGTTTTCCTCCTGGTGCACTGTTCTCTTTACCGCGTCTTCGTACTGTGTTATAACCCGAATCCTGAAGAATTGTACTCGTGCTAGCCAGACTCTCGCGATCGGTCTCCTGCTTGATTATCTCGGTCAAAGCATCCAAACGACTAGGAGTAGCAGGTAACTGTGCCGCCCCTGTTCGTCGTTCAACTTCGGCCATAGCAATTTTGAATGGCGTTGGTGTCCTCGGTGTGTTATCGTCTGTAAAAATAAAGGTAACAATAAAGTCTTCATTTCTAAAAAAATCTTATAGAATTTATGTACACAGATGTTCCACGTATAAAACATTATCTCGATAAAAAGATTTTTTATGGTATATAATTAGAAGAGGATTTATTTAATACATGTATACATAGTAAATTCGAAATATATGTACCGTTTTGATTTCGTCGGAAACCGGTAGGTTGCGGAGTCGTAAGTGGACCAGGACTGCTTCCTTTAGGAGTACTCGCGCGCGGCCAGGATGTTTCCGGACTCAGAGTCAAGAAATGCGAAGTGTTCAAGAATTGCGAGGGGCTGAATGGAAGGGGCTTCATAGGAGTCGAAGGAGTCGTGTTTCCCGTTAATGTTTGTTGGCCTATTATATTGTAATCCGATAGATTTCCGCTATCAGGAGTATCTTCTATCCTCTGCAGATTCTGCACTGCATTTTTGCGTCTGCGTAATATAGGAGGTGGACTGCTCTTCTTCTCTGTGTGTTCGGATATCTCCTCTAAGTCAGGCATTGGTATTAATTTTATATCCGAACTCCTCGACGTTTCTTGTGATAAGTTGTAATATCTGCGCATACGCGTGAAAAAGAAAAAAATTAATATTTACAAGCAGAGTAAAACAGTAGACATTACATCATTACATTATTTCAAGCATACTTAGAGAATGATGATATTGTCTCGATTTTCGTTCGAGAAGAGGCTTTCTTCGATGGAGACTGCATGCGTTTTTCATTGTCACGTGCACACCTGTTTGACAGTAACATTGTATCTAGATATCCTGGCGTTGCAAGATGTTGTTGTTCCAAAGTTTTTATCCAATCCAGATCAATATCGATAGTTTGCAAAGTGCTATTGGCTGTTAGTGGTGAAACATCTTCGCTATTAATTGGATCAACTTTTACCCGACTTGAGTCGCAAAGGCCATCTTCTAGATCTCTCATGGTAGTGATATTTTCTGTATTTTTTCTCTTACCCCTACCTGTAAGTTTTGTTGATTTCTTTTACTATTTTATCAAGTTTGTTTTATGGAAAATATAACAAACATTATATATATATTCATAATTATATATTCACATTATATAATTATATATTCATATTATATTAAATTTGAAAAAATATTATCAAGTATTATCATGATATTATCATTTAAATTTTATGTGTCGCTATGTATTATAAATAGCACCTTTAATTGTAGTTCTTCCTTCTTCGGTTTCATACTTTCTTCTCATTGTGCTGTTCCAATGATTTTTAATCGCATTATCAGTCCTGCCCGGCAATAGTTTGGCAATCCTCGCCCATTGATTGCCATATTTACGATGAGCCTCGACAATTACTTTATCCTCAATCTCAGTCCACGCGGTTTTTTTTATTTCCGGATTCAAGTGATTGTGCCATCGTTCCCGGCATTGTTTACCAATTCGGCCTTTAAGATGTCGCGCTATCAATGTCCATTTTTTCGGGCCATATTTCTCTACGAGTTCAACCACTTTCTCATCCTCCTAAAACAGAAGAGAAAATTATATTTTATAAAATATAATAGAGTTTAAAAATGTTTATAGAATTATTGTAATAATATTTTATTACAACAATTTCCAATATTTTAATAAATTATGGAAAAATATGGCTTTTTGAACTATTTTTCGAGTTATGTTTATTAGATAGATAATAACATAATCGAAATATAAAATATAAAAACTTATATATAAAATAATATATAAAAACTCTAATATATAAAAACTTTTCTTTGATTAAAAAATCTAATCTTAAAAAAATATTACGTCACAGAGAGAGAAAATGTATGCTTTATATGTGAATCTAACATGATATATAATTACACACACACACGCGCGCGCATGCACACGCATATATATATATATATATATATATATATATATATATATATATATATATGCGTGCATGCGCGCGCGCGCGTGTGTATTTATGTACATAAAATCGATAGAAATATTAAGGGCATATTGACGATATTTACATGAGTATGAAAATGAGAATATCAAATTGCTATCTCGGTAAAAAAATATCACAATAGAAAAAAGCTTTAATAATTCATTTATAAGCGCATGATTTTTTGATTCACGAAGTCGCATTATATGCCCTTGACTGTTTCGAAGTGCATTGGCACGGCGATGCAGCATCACCGTGTGGTCCAAGCTTTTTCTTATTGCATACTCCATCGAGGCGAGCGGCAATGAAATCCATGCAGTCCGTCGCGTAGGCGGTATGTGCAGTGCCGTACGACGGTAATGTATTACCCAACAATATATGTACATATATATGTACATATATAATATATGTATATGTATATATGTACTAAAAAAATATATATATATATTTATATATATATATATATTAGTATATATATACATATACATGGGTTACATATACGTTAGATAATATATATATATATATATATATATATATATATATATACACATATTATCGTCGTTAATGATACATGTATAAAATTTATCCGACATTGATAAAATTTATATATATAATCATAATTTATAATCACTTCACTACATTGATATTATGATTGATTACTATGATGAAAAGCGTAAAGTTTGTTAATATTTGCTGAAATAAATTGACTTGTTCTTGTAAACAATTTATAAATTGTGTATATTTTGCATATTGAATAAATTTGAGTATTATTTGCATATAATTATACTGTGCAGACATTTTTTATGTATGTTCAATATCAAATTATTAAAGAATGAAGAATTTTAGAAACATTTTCTCACCTCTTTCGTCCATGGACCCTTGACCAATTCCGGATTCACGACTTTAGCCCATCTCTGCTGGCATTGAACATCGCTTCGATCTGGGAAACGACTGGCTATAATGTCCCATCGTAGACTAGTGCCAAGTTGTTCCGCATTGCTTACTAGTTGCTTCAATAAAGCGTCCTGTAAAAAGGAAAAATGATAAATATAGTGAAAATATTTCGCTTCATAAGACGAGAAAGAACGAAAGCGCAATGTGCGGCACATGGGAGATCGATCGACCTCCGTAGGCTTTCCCACGTGAAGTCGTATAGTACACCCTATGTTCTATGGGGTAACCGAGGCATCTGTCTCCCGGCATGCACGGTGGTGCAACTCGTTGTAGAAAATACGAAGGGTGGACATTTTTTTTGGGATCTGCACATTTATTGTCCCTCCCTTAATTTGCTACATAGAATTGATATAATGTAACGATATACATGCTTATCCCTTAATAAAAAAAATTTTCGGAATCAATATAACTTCAAAAAAGAAATTCTCACAGTTACAAAAATTTAATTTTATATTGAGAGAGGCTAAAGAATTCTTTATAGTAAAATTAAAAATTTTTTTATATATTAAATTTTTTTATATTAAAGATAAAATAATACCATTAAAAGTTATATTTATTACAATATAAACTTTTATATTGTGATTTTTCTTAAATAATAGAAGCCTTACTTCTTCTTTGGTCCATCTTCCTTTATTTATGTGTTTTCCTTGTCCGTGACTTGAAATGGATATCTGATTTTGCACTTGATTTTGTACTTGATTTTGTACTTGATTGCTTTGACTAATCATGCCATACTCGTTGTCAGAATCTCCACCACTACTAGAATCGTAACCTGACCTAGATCGAGATCTGAAATATGCAATGAAATATGATATAATGAGACATACAATAAAATAATTTGGATCGAAATAAACATCGCGAATAATAATATTTAATGAACAAATCATATAATACGAGCTAAAAATATCATATAGTTATTAATTAACAACTTTTTATAAATAATTACTAAGATTTGTGAATTATCTTCGTAAAATACAGACTTTAACATGACATGGGACGGGTCATGGATTTTGTAAGTCTGTAAACATGTCGAAAAAAAGGATTTTCAAAATCGATATTTTAAAATTTAGTATTAACATCGATAAAAAAACAGAGAGAATTAAAATGTTATGTCAATGTTCTGTAATTTTCTATCAGATATTGCTAAATAATAAGGCGTAAAGAAACGAGTGTCTTCCTTTCTGCAATGCGGGGTTTATAATCATCCGCTTGAATCAAGATTCTAGCAATACGGAAGTTTAACGAACATATATGTATATCTTTTATCTAGCGAGAAGTAACGGCTGAGACGGGAAATCACGGATGGCTGAATATCCTGCCCCGATTTTTATGCTTCCTTTCTTTTGTCGCATAACTTTTATCGTCGCCGTCCCTTCCTAATTTCACCCTCGCTATTCAGTAATCTTGACCGCGAAAACATCGGTTTTTGTGGTCACGTAAGACTTGATCTTTCCTCGTTTTGGGATTTCCTGTCACGTTTCGTACGCAGGTAATTGAAGTGCTTCCTTATTAACTTTGTAACATCCTTTGCACATCCTTCCCCAACCACCAACCAACAGTCTCAAAATTTCACATATTTACTATAGAAGAATGTAAGATTTCGCACATAGTTATATATACGTATTAATAATTTTTATTTAATTTGATAATAATAATATTTGATAATAATTTGATAATAATTTTTAATTAATTTGATTATAATTATTGCTTATTTTTATAACTATTTTAGTATAACTATTTTTTAGAGTTTCAATGTAATTTCCATCTTATTATGTGTGTGTAATCCTGAGAAAAAAGCAGATTAATTAAATTGTGAAAACAGACTGCTAATTTTTCGCAGAGGTGAGCTTACGCACTGTTCAGCCTGCCTCCATAATAATGCATTTTGAAAATAAAAGGCAATGACGAACAAGGCTGTCTCTCCTCTATGTACCGCGCAATCTGCTTCACCCTCACTTTTTCCCCCTTTCCCTCGCTTCTAACAGCTGCATATAGCGGAGAGAGTTCAGGGTAAACGCGATTGGGGATACGCTTAGCTTATGCAAGGACAGCATTCGCGGAGCACCACGGGCGTATGCGTGTTGTAAACATATGTGTGCTGCAGATGGCCCGGAGTCCTATCGTTCCTATTGCTTTATGCATTGCCGGGTGCCATCGATTGGAAATATCTTCACCTCTAATGAACCCATTTCAATCATGAATTTATTATGAATGCTACACGCGATTAAACAAAAGTGTTATATATCATTAAAAAGATCAAAATGCTGTATGCTTGTGGAAGTGATTTTTATTCGCTACAAGGAAAATAAAAAAAATTAAATACCGTATATAACTTCATATAAAACTAATTTTTGCGTATATAAATAATTTATTGTATGTAATACTTAATGTGTGACTCTCTAAGCGATTCATTTTCAAGCGCGACACTACATATGTTTGTTACACATTGTGAGCGATACGAAAGATGAAATTACGTCACCACGAGCAGCTCAACACCATGGAATGCAAACAAGCTAAAACGATATCGTTTAATTACATCCGAAGAAAGAACTTCTTTCATAACGTCGCAATCGCCTCTACGACAAACATTGCTTTCTGAGTATATTGATTATGATAAAGAACAAAAAGTGCTATAGTTAAAACAACATATCAATCCAGTCCTATCCGTACGTATAGATTGTACAGATAGTGTATAAAATGAATAATATAAAGGATAGATTAAGATATTGATATGTCTCAACTCGATTCGATAATTGTATAATCGATCTTTTATGTGACAGATATCGTTAATATCATGTCCCCTGCACCTTTTAATATGAATATATAATTCCACTGCAGGTGCGTGTACGTTTATGTACACAATACTTTGAAAATATTTAAAAACCTGTACAAGGTGCAATATAAAATGATAAGAAAAAAAGCATCGCTGTAATGAAAACAAAAGCATCAATGCAATTATAAATATCCTAATAATTGTGCTAATTGCAATCCTTTCCAATAATAAAATGTAATTTTACAAGATACGAAGAGGAACACAAAAGGAAAGAAATGGTTTCAATCTTTTGAGATAATAATAATTCAATTAAAGATTCTTTAATGATAAATATAACAAAATTATCTGGAATTTACACACACATATATATGCAGGAACATATACATTTAAAACATCTTTCCTATGAATGTAGAAATTTTACATAATTATTACTAATTCCTATTAATGAGAACGACGTTCAAGTTGGAGATGTATCGAATTAGCACACGAACGGGGCGGGTCTTTGACAAGTTACGTAAAGGTTTTCGCCGAAAAACTTCTAACGATCATCCTTGAATTTAAATCCTTTGAGCACGCTAAAGAATTTTTTTCACGACCTCCTCGCCATTTGTGAAAACATATATCGGGCATAGTAATGACTTTGATGTATGAATAAAATCATTGTTTAAAAAGTGGGATAGTAGAAAGAATGAAGTAATTAAAATATTAAAACGAATAGTCATTCTAAGAAAGAAAGTAATAATTGTATATTATAAAAAATATAATTCTTATAATAAAAAAAACATTGTACGATTCGAAAAGTTAATAAAATATTAATAATTTTATACATAAAATAATATGCGCAAATTTAAATTTATATGTATGTAAATAGCTATGTAGCTGTATATAACTGATTATGTTTTATATATATATATATATATATATATATATATATATATATATATACAGGGTGACCCATTTTAACTTAGGCAGCCAAATAACTCGAAAAATAAGCACACTACGAAAAAATGGTTAGAATCAAAATTTCGTCATTTCGAGGGGGACGTACAATGACGTTAAAATCAGCCCCCTCACCCCTCCCCCTGGGCGGTGAGGGGGGGCAAGTTTGAAATCTTAAATGGAACCCCCTATTTTTCATTGCATATTCTTGTAGCTTATCTCGAGAGCTTTCCAAAACACTATAATTAAGTACCTTTTTATTAAGTACTTTTTGAGTTATAAGGCTTGAAATAATTTCTTAATTTTACATAAACCATAAAATATCTAGTAAACCATTCATTTTTCGATTATCTTACCTTCATACTTTTATGTACAAAATAATGAGAGGCATCAATTGGTGTAAAGAAAACACATAGTTGTTTCTAAGAAAAAATATGTAATTTGCAATTAACAATTCCATATTTTTTCTTAAAAACAACTGTATGTTTTCTTTACACCAATTGATTCCTCTCATTATTTTGTACATAAAAGTATGAAGGTAAGATAATCGAAAAATGAATGGTTTATTAGATATTTTATGGTTTATGTAAAATTAAGAAATTATTTTAAGCCTTATAACTCAAAAAGTACTTAATAAAAAGGTACTTAATTATAGTGTTTTGGAAAGCTCTCGAGATAAGCTACAAGAATATGCAATGAAAAATAGGGGGTTCCATTTAAGATTTCAAACTTGCCCCCCCTCACCGCCCAGGGGGAGGGGTGGGGGGGCTGATTTTAACGTCATTGTACGTCCCCCTCGAAATGACGAAATTTTGATTCTAACCATTTTTTCGTAGTGTGCTTATTTTTCGAGTTATTTGGCTGCCTAAGTTAAAATGGGTCACCCTGTATATATATAATTTAAAATCTATGTAATATGTAATAATATAACTATAAAATATGACAAAATATGTCCAAAAATATTGCGTTACAAGTTTCATATAAAAGAATAAATTATTTCAATATCTCTCGATATTATTAATTATAGATTAAGTGCTATTTTATTTGCGTTAAAAGCTTAACACAAAAATTTTTCCACAATTAAATGGCGTTATTTCTAAACTGCAAATTAATATAATAACTTTGAAAGAGTTTTATGAATTGCAATGACAATTATTGACGATCTATAGACTTATATATAACATGTGAATACGTACAACAAAAAGAAATAAATGCTATTTTCGCCTATTAGTGAATTTTAATTGACAAGAATCATAAAGAAAGTAGGTGCAGAAAAATAAAGTTGACAAAATTTGAAATGATTCAAAAGAGACAAAATAATAGAGAAAATTCTCTAAAACTATCAATCTTATAAACTTTATAAAAATTATATATACATTAAATACAATCGCATTGAAAGACATTAGGGTCGGTGAACTATAAACAAATTTTGTTCTATGTGCTCATTTTTACATCCTCCCTAAAGAATCGGGTAATAAACTCAAATACTAAAGTAATAATAACAGAGAAAAAGAAGTTTCGTCCTTCAATCGTTTTAATAAAATTTAGAAAAATCAAAAGAAACATTCAAGTAAATTTATAATACGTAGCTTTTACTTGAGAGGCGACAACAGAAGCAGGTGCCACTGACAGCTGCTTACTTGTCTAGGAAAATAAACGCTATGCACATCTTTTGTCACACCAGGCAAAAATGACATCTTACATTTTTATAGTCTTCAATATACATATACGTACAGATATATTATGTAAATTACTTAGACACAAGTCATAAAAATTGATCTTTAACGCAAGATAAGTAATTATAAACGAATTATAAGTTACCAATAAAAAAGAAATTTATGTTATAAAAATTTCATTATTTTTTCTTTCATTAATGATAATATTCAAGATGATGGATATAATCGCAACAGAACATAATAAAATATTGCTCCTCACACTTCTGTTTCCTGAAAACGAGAAATGCTCGAGCGAAACTTTCGAAGCGAGGCGAATGTGGGAATGGCTTATAGGACGGACGGATATCGCTAAATATTAGACAATAAAACGACAACACGCGGGACGAGCTATTTGACTTTTC